TTTCATATAACTCCTCCCCGAACTTCCCGCTGCCCTGTATCTTGGTCTCTCATTGGCTGTAGGTCATCGCCGATGTGTTTTTCAGTCAGAACTCATTTCACACAGCGTGATTGTGAATCGCCGACAGCTCCAGATATTTAGCATGCCAAATATTTCGCGGGCGTCGGCGACGTGTCTGTGATTCTCTCAGATCGCGTCTTTGATAATTCACACTGCGTGATTGTCACTCGCGTGAACGAGCACCGATTTGCCTCCGATGTCGGGCATTTGTCGGCGATTTCGCAAAACCTGTCGGCGAGTGAAAAATCAGGCTAATATCGTGCAGTGTGAACTCGGCATTAGGGTATGGAACTGAAAGACTCTTAACAGCCTAGGTTTTCTAGTTTTATTGAGTTGTTTTAAGTTCCATGTGGAAATTGTAAATACAGTTTATTTATTCACTTCATAACTGTTGTACGTCTCATCTTTTTAAACACTCCAAGCTCTCACACCGTATAATCTGACCCCTTTTTAACAAACGTAACATCTTCCAATAAGGCCAATCGTTACAACGTGGAATGCCTAGGTTACCCAGTCTGGAGGGACTCCCCTCTAGACTCCTGTCCAGGGCCTATAAGTTTACTTAATCACTTACGGCGAAGGCTAACATTGCCACTGGACAGGCCGGCCCGGCCTGCATGGCCATCCTGCTAATCCGTTAGGCCAAGGTGCAAAAAGACATGCACGGGGCAGTCCTGATCTGAGATTGAACTGTGCATGGCACATGCTCTACGGCAGGTCGACGGCCTCCACGGTGGTCCAGGAATGTCACCTGTGGCTAAACCATGCAGAGATGAGGGAGGCCTACAAAATGGGTTGATGCATATGACACCACTTCAGCACTGGCTTCAGACTTGAGTCCAGGCATTACTCAAGACAAAGCCCCTTCTATTAGGCAGCTGTATGCTTTGAAGAGGCATTCTTTCTGAGGAGAAGACCCACAGTGATGTGTCATCGGCCTACAAAGCGCTTTCTGTTAAGGAAGCATACCTGGAGTTTGGTCCGGCAGACACTCATGTTGTTCTGAGACCTCGGCCTGGCTATGTGCCCAAAGTTCCCACTACTCCTTTCAGAAACCAAGTGGTGAACTTGCAAGCACTCCCTCCTGACGAGGGCGAAACTGATGAATTGTGCAACATTAACATTTTTTATATTTTTATAGTTTTGACAATATGAACTGTATAGTGTTATATAAAAAATTTGAATTTTATGATGATTTATGATTTGTGAAAAAATAAGGCTTATTTCCTTGTGCAGAAATAAGTCACCAATGAATGCTCCACCGCATTTTAACATGTTAACCCCCCCCTCCCCCCATAGTTGTAGCACGCAAATTCAAAATAACTAAGTTAAAATAGATTCTGTGTATGTGTATTTCATGGAGGTTTAGATTACTATAAAATGTTTCTTTAATTTTTTAGTAGATCTCAATTTTAAATGCTTTAATTTCATAGTATAACATTTTCAGTCTCATAAAGAATTGACCTCACAAGGGGACTTGTTTAGGAATTCCTATCATTAGATTGATTAAAAAAAAAAAATTATCTTGCTATTAACATTTAATTTGAATGGTTTTATGCTCTCTGTAGCCAATAATGTCAGTTTAATTGATAAATTTATTATTTTGTTGAACTGTTCTGGATGACTCTGATTCAATATTAGTTACATTAAAGATCAAATAAAATAGAAATAGCACCTTAAAGTTACAAGTTGCAATTGCATGATATAACCACTTTTTGTGTGTACACTGTATAGATCTAGTATAAGAAATGTTTTTGCTTAGGTGGCCAAATTGCCCAATAGAGAATAGTTTTGCTATGAAAGAAAAGAAAATGATTAAGATAAGAACATTTCACTTCACAGTCATCAAGTCTAACTAAGGCAGGCATACATTGTATTTTAAGCATTCAATGGGAAGTCCTTAAAGGTGTTGCCCTTAAACACTGCTTCAGAGATGACTGCTTAACCAAAGCATCTAAAGACAACACAGGAAATTAGACCAGGGGCCCATTCTTCAAACGTCGCTAACTCCGTTAGCTGGATTTGATTGTTGACGATTTGGCATGATCTTGGATTGTTTGGTTCTTCGAAGCTCATCCCGGAGTTGCTGTCACAGCAACAGGTCGGTAAGCTTAAACCTGTTCGGGAGCAGGCTTATTTCATGTAAACAGGATTAGATTGCATCTTTTTAAGCAGAATTGATACTTAAAATATGTCCGCTTTATTACAAGAGTATCCTACTGATCCAAGGACAATAATTTAAAATAATAATAATTTAGAAATAATTTAAAGATAATATAACAATGTTGTGTAGTCTTTAATACTATAGACACAGCCAGTTTTACTCACTGAAACGCCAGCTAATCGCTGCATTGTTGATCGTGGTTTCGAGTATCGATACATAACCCCTTTTAAACCAACCCATGAACGCGCAATTATCTCAGATAACTCAATCCAGCCATACTAATCATCGACAACATGTGCGTTTGAAGAACCAAATTAGCCAGATCCTGATTAGCGCGATGATATCATCTTGGATGTGACATTTTATCTCGGATGTAATGAGCGACGTACGAAGAACGGGCCCCTGGTTAACAGAATACGGAAGTCTGTTGTGCATAACCCCTATAGCCCGCCTTGTTGGCAGAAGCGATTTACTCTAACTCCACCCACCTACGTGTGATTGGGCTAGTCAATACAACAAAAGACTATCAGCAAGCTACAGCTCCAGTGGCGTAGATGGTAAAGCGTGTGTCATGGACGTTTTGACGCGATTGACCCGAGTTCGAATTTGCCTTTTGCCGAACTTTTTTTTTTCTCCCTTTTCAAATGTCGCATCGGAAAGGCATTTATTTTCAATAAAAATTAAGGAAATAATAGAAAAGTTGAAAAAGTATCGGGTAGGGTAAGGGTATGTGTACGGAAGGCTTTATTGTCCCAATAAGGTGGCATCCATTTAATAATTAAAATTTAAATTATAATTTACACTCAATACGTTATTATTGCATACTGTTTTATAATTTACTACAATATTGAGATGCAGATAATTGCCACTATTTGAAATAAGTAGTATAAATAGCATTTTATCATAGTGTAAATGCTATCTATAGTTAGCCTATTTGCACTTGTTGTAAATAGAATCTATCGCTAAGAAAATATGCTATTTGCACTTAGTGTAAATAGCCGCTGCCATTTATTTTTGATTCAATTTATTATTGTTTATTTTGATAATATTTAATCTTTAAAAATGTTTTATTTAATGTGTGTAATTTGTTTAGTTTTTAGTTAGTCAATTGCAATTTGTAAATAATACAATTTAATTACTATTTATTTACTTTTATGTTTTATTAAAGTTCTATTTTGACCCCTTTAGTAGGTGTTTTTTTTATTTCCATAATATTTGGGGAAGGGGGCACAACATTACAATTCTGCTTAGGGCACCCATTTGGCCAGCAGCGGCCCTGGCTCCAGCAGACCTCCCTGTTGATAACATTTCCCCCAAATGGTTTAAGCATCAACAGATCACTAGAACTAGAGACATGTCAACATTCAGATGTAGTTTTACCTAGTATTAAACTGATGCGATCATGTTCACATTAAATGCCCAACACAACATACTTCACATTAGTTTTTCATGTGATGAAATGGCAGGACATAGAATCAGCCAATCTAAAACAGATACTTAAATTTGTATTCCAATAAGAGATGATAGTCATTCACAATGAGAGAGAGTAAATAATGACAGCATTTTAATTTTGGGTGGAATGTTCCTTTAAATCTATTGCTCAAACACAAGAGGGAGTGCAAAGTAAACATTTCATTGTACAGTGTATTCTGGACATACAGTAACTCCACATTAAAAAACACTTGACTTTAAGATGATTAGCAAGTTATTTTTTATCTGTATTTTACCTGCTTTGGGGTAAGTAGAGATGAGTAGGTCTGATGGGTCAGGACAGAATTCTGAAACTGATTTCCAGTTTTCAGCAATGGTGCTCATGAGAGGCACACCGTGGACATCTATTAGAGGAAAACGCTGAATAGCATCACCTGCCCTCCTAATGGCTTCTTCATAGCTCAGCTGTTCCTTTTCCATCACCACAAAAACGTCCTCTGGAATATCTTCTTATTCTTTTCAGTGTTCTCTCTCTGCCTTTTTTCTAACTGTCCCTAATATTTCTATCTTCTCTGCTTTGGGCGTTACTGTAATGAGTTCCTGAGGTGCAGAGCACTTATATAACTCATGGACAGCCGGGGCTGAATTCCAAACTTTCAGCAATGTTATCTTAACTTAAGTGCAAGGGAGTGTCTGACAAGTATCACTTTAAATGGAAAAAGTGGACAGAGCAGATTTCCTCCTAAAACTACCAGAATCAGCTAAAACTCAGTAAGAAATGCCCAAATTAGTTCAGCATGATCATTATTTCATCATACTTGATTCATGAGACCATTTACAAAACTACATTTCTGTGTATACTGAACTAAGCAGTTAATATTCAATCAAATGTGGTGAGTAAAAAACAAACAAACAGTCAGGATGCATTTCAGATTTGAAAACATTTGTCTGTCATTTAGTGAGCATTAAATATTTATTGTTTGTTATCCATCCAACAATTTTCTATAACTGCTTATCCCATGTATGCTTATCCCAGTGCTAGAGCCTATCCCAGCATATCTTGGGCCACAGGCAGGGAAGATATGCTGGGAAAGAACCCAAAGAGGTGGCCATCACTGGTGTTTATATATATATATATATATATATATATATATATATATATACACACA